AGGTTTAGCCTATGATAAATATTAGCTGTTGCCTTGTGTAAGTCATTTGTAGCAACCCTACAAGATTATACGTGGCAGAGAAGGTTCTGATCTACATTTGTAGGAGTTTCTTGAGCAGAGAAATCCCTACACCAGTAAAATCACACATCCAATACAAAATCAAAATAGAAGGAAAAAAAAAAACCACTTGGTCTGGGGGGGGATCTCTATAACTGATAATTAAGGATGTAATACATCAACTGAAAGGCTAATTCCTATGACTTTTCTGCATATACACCAAAAAAAAAAATAGCTTTTAATTATCTAAGAAAACAGAACTCAAGGGAAAAAATACAGACTTTCTGGGAAGATGTTATAATTTTATTGTTTAGTTTAAGTATTTTAAATAAAAAAAAACAAAATCTCCAGCTGTATGCAAGTAATTGATTTAAAGACTGTGATAGATCTTTTATAAATAGGTTGGCATAAATAGCCTTTGAAATCAATGATTGTGAGTTGACAGTCATGCCTTCTTTCAGATCAGAGGCATTAAAAGAGTGTTGGTTCTTTGTTGAAACCTTCCTCACCCATCTGCTATTCGATTTAGAAAGAATGGGATAGAAGAGGCATGATAAATCTGCCACTTTTCACTGACTAAGATGGGAGCAAAATGAGTGGGTCAAAAAGACGTCAACACTATTTACTAACATCTGCACCCATGGAAGTAAAGAATGCTCATTGCAATGTGAATATTCTACTTTCTTCTATTTCTCTCCTTAAGTTTGAGTTGCTTGACATTTGGCACTGAGATTTTAAATAACGTAAAACAGGTTTAGCTTAACACTATCACAATAAATTCCAAATGGATAAATAATCTAAATATAAAATTCATGTTATAAGAAAATTATAGGAGAATGGAAGACAGGGTCTTTCACAGCTTTGGTTAGGGGAAGAATTAATGATTAGGAAAGGGAAAGAGGTGGTTATGAAAGACAAAACAGGCCATTTAGATTACACTAAACTGAAAAACGTTTGCACACACACAAAATCAGTGCAGTGAGAAGTAATGATGGATTAGGGAAAACAGCCTTTGTATCAACTACCTCTGATAAAAATTTGACATCCAAAATCCACCAGGAATTAATGCAAGTCTGTAAGACAAGCATCACTCTCCAAAAGACTAAGTGGTCAAAGGCAATGAACAGCTTTCAAAATGACAAATGCCAATTTTTGACTACCGTATTGAAAATGCTTCAGATCATTGATAAGAAAAATACAAATTAAAACAACAGCTCTTACTGGTCAAACTGGCAAAGATGATTTATTTTTTTGAGGAGGAAACCATACCTGAGATTTCATTGATATTTGTAGCTCCTGGTGAAGGATCTCTGTCTGTCTGTCTCTGTCTGTCTCTGTCTCTTCTCTCTCTCTCTCTCTCTCTCCCATTGCAAATCAGCATCTACCTTGCAGCTTATGGTTTTACAGAGGCTCCTGGGGCACTGAGAGATTAAGTGACTTGCTTAAGATTGAACAGCCAGTATCCAAGATCATTGGCCAGACTTCAACCCAGGTCTTCTTAAATCCAAGGCCAGCTCTCTGTCCACAATAGAGTGCCATGTCTGGAGTCAGGAAGATTCATCTTCCTGAATTCAAATCTAGCCTCAGACACTTACCCTGGGCAAGTCACTTAACTTTGTTTGTCTCAGTTTCCTCAACTGTAAAATAAGTTGGAGAAGAAAATGGCAAACCATTCCAGTATCTTTGCCAAGAAAATCCCAAACAGGGTCACAAAGAATCAGACATGACTGAACAACAATCCTGTCTTTTGATCCAGTCGTCTCAGTACTGGGTTTATACCCTGAGGTGGTCAATAAAGAAAAGTCTCATGCAGTAAAGTAGTTATACACAGGCATCATGGTACAGTGAAAAGAATGCTCAATTTGGAGCTGGATGACCTGAATCTCAAGCACCACTAACTGACTCTGCGAACCTGGAAAAATCACTTGCCCCATCTGGGCCTTAGCTGCCTTCCCTTTTTCCTGTCTGTAAAATAGTTGGGATTGGGCTAAATGATCTTTGAGTTCCTTTTCAACACTAGGTCAATGATCCAAAGATCAGAAAATTCTACATGCTGGGGTAACTCACACGTTGGTGCTTCTGCTTGCTTCCCCCAAGACATTGATGTCCTCTGGGGATGTCACAGGCTTAGTGGCTTGCTCAGCTGGTTCAGATCCTCTGCTGATCTGTTCACGCCAATATGGTGCTCTCAAGGCTGATGCTGAACCTCTTTTTACCGTTTTTTGTTGAGCAGAGCCACCGGGCTTCTGCTCGTCTCTTAGTACTATGAAGGTTCTTCTTCCAAATGGTGATGAGGGGAAGGGTTATCTATTCATTGTTTTACTTCATGGCCGCAAGTTATTTTAACTCTTTTTTTTTTTTATGAACCTCAGCCAATTATAACAAGCCAGCTGGAGAAGCCCTTTGACATTTAAATCTTTTTTTGTTTTTTTGTTTTTTGTTTTTTTCCCTATGCCTAGGAAACAGCATTTATGCTATCATTAAAAGTAACTTGATACAAGCTTTTCAAGGCCAACAGCTACGTCTTTATCTTTATTTCCTCCTCTCCCCCACCAACCTCCATGAGAGGCGATATAGAGGTCCTAGAGCCTGCTTCAGGAACGTGAGCTCAAGGTCTGCCCAACTGCAAAGGTAGGAGGATTTCCCTCACCAAGGACTCCCAGTACTGAAGGGAAAAAAAAATCCCTACATTGCTTTGCCCATAGTCAGTGCTCAAGAAATACCAGCTGAATGGATGAATGATTGCTTATCTGAGTCTGCCTTACAGTTTTGTTGTGAAGGGCATGCTTTGCAAACAGGAGAGCACCCTAGAAACCTGAAGAGGTATTTCTTTTTTAGGTGCAGGAGCCGAGTTTTAGTGTGCTGATTACGTCAGACTAGTGTACAGCTTGTTAATGGCAGGAGCTCAAAATATCAACTTTTCTCTTTGCCATTGGGTATTTCATGTTTTTTCATGCCAAAACTTGGTTTATTTGTCCTTTTGCAGGGGGCAGAGAGGATAGAGAAGGTGGGGGATACAGCGAAACTATAACTTGCATTTTTTGCTTAATCTGCCAAACTCCCCACTCCCTGTTTTCTCAGTGTGTTTAAATATTTGTTATCTCATGTTAACATGATCTTTGATTTTTCAATCTTTTTTTCCTTCCATTTATCACTTGCAGTTAGCAAAGGACCAAGTTGGTCTGAATCCTAATCCCTACTTCCCCAGGGCCCTACCCCACTGGGCACCAAAGTGCAGTGACTTGGGAAGGCAACTAGTAAGGGAGGAGCCTTTGGAGTTTCTACTGCCTTGCATTAAAAAAAAAAAAAAAATTCAGTTTCTTTGACCAATAAACTCCACAATCACAACCAAAGCAAATAAGTCATACTTCGAAGTATTGGACCTGAAGACAAGACCCAAGTTTAAATTCTGCCTCAGACATTTCTTAGCTGTGTGACCCTGGGTAAGTCACTTAACTTCTTCTGCCTCAGTTTCCTCATCTGTTAAATGGGGATAATAGCACTTATCTCCCAAGGTTGTTGTGAGGATAAAATAAGTTTTCCTCTTAATAGTATTTTGTTTTTTCCAATTACATGTAAAGATAGTTTTCAACATTTACTTTTATAAGATTTTGAGTTTCAATTTTTTTTTCTCCCTCCCTCCCTTCCTCCCCAAGACGGCAAGCAATCTGATGTAGGTTATATATGTACAATCATAAAATAAGATAACATTTGTAAGGCCCTTTGAAAACTTTAAAGTTCTATTTAAATGATGATTATTATTACCAGCAATAATAATAATATTATTGTTATTATGGTTGAAACCAGGCTAGAGGAAGGTATTTTTAATTACCAGGCAGTTTACTCATCTAAGCTGCATAGGAGCATAGATTTCCTTACTCTAAAACAGAAATTGTGTCTGTAATAACTACCTTACAGTACCACTGAAAGAGAAGCACGTTGTAATCCTTAAAGAACTATATGAATGGGAGTTTTTATTAGACATTTCATTCTAAGTTATATTAAATTTGTCTAGGTACATGTCTAATTTCTGCTATTACATTGTAAGTTTTTTTTTTTTTTAAAGGACAGGGATTGCTTTTAAATTCATCTCTTTTTCTTCTCCAGTACCTACCTGTGCCTTTGCTTATTGGAAGTATTGTTGAATAAAGGGATTGTTTGTTTTTTTAAAGGTGATTCAGATTGGTGACAGTGGGCAAGACACTTTAAAAAAATTTTTTTTTTGGGCAATTGGGGTTAAGTGACTTGCCCAGGGTCACACAGCTAGTAAGTGGCAAGTGTTTCGTCTAAGGTCGGATTTGAACTCAGGTCTTCTTGACTTCAGGGCCAGTGCTCCATCCACTTCACAACCTAGCTGCCCCTCTCTGGTTCCATTCTCTAAAAGCCCTTTTCCAACTCTAATGCTAATGACTTTATGGAGAGAAGAGCTAAGGGACCAGTGGACTTTTCCTTGGGAGACTTGATCACTTTCTTCTGAGCCTAATTTGATCCCTTTAAAAATGAAAGCCCTGCTCTGGCCCCGCCCTCCAGCCTCCAAGTCCGCGGACTGACGGACACAAAGTCCTGTCTCGCCTAGCAACGCAGTAACACAGAGCAGCCTCATTCAGATTCCTGCGCGGCTCGCCCTGGGGGCGTTCTGCGGCTCTGCGGGCCGGCACAGATACTGACGCCACGGGGGTCCCTGGGACAGATGTGAGCAGACGGGATGAGAGGAGAGATGCGAGAGAGAGGCGCGAGCTACTGGGCATGAGGAGCGGGGCAGGGCGGATGGGCGGGCGGGGAAGGGGAGATCGCTGAGGGGCGGCAGTAGGCGCCCCCTTCCCCATCCCGAGCAGGGAAGCCCCCGGGGCCCCAACCAGCGGGGTGGCACTCGGGCGGGATGAAGGGTTTGGCCAGGGGGCGGGAGGCCTAACAGAGAGAGCGCGTGGGATGGAGGACGGAGGATGAAGGATGGAAGATCCCGCCCCACCTTTGGAGGGGTTGTTCACGTGCTGAACCTCTGTCCTGGAGGAATCGCCCTTCACATGGCCAGGGGTGTCAGGTGTGTGCGTTTGTAATGTGCTTATGGGTAGTGAGTGTGTCAGGCAATTTGAGCCCCCATTGTCTTACACAGAACCACAGAATGTCAGAATTGGAAGGAATTTAAGGGATTATCATCTACTCTGCTCCTCCACCCTCCCCCAAGGGCAAATTTAGGCCCAATTAATCAGTCATCAAGTATGTATTAAACATTTATTAAGTGCCGGACTCTGCGCTAATCACTGAGGTAGGAAAAAACCCAACAAATACCTTATTCTCTCAAGGAGCTCACTTTCAGGGGGGGGCAACAAGGTATAGCCCGTGGAAGTCCCAGAGAGGACGTGGTGAGAGGCAGCTTGATTGAATGGGTTTGGGATCCAGGAGGGCTCCAGGGCCTCCTTGGGGAAGTCCCTAAACCTCTCAGGGATTCAGTTTTCTCATCTGTAAAATAAGGGTGTTGGACTACTAGAGCCTTCCTGCTCTAAATCTATCATCTTGTGACTTGGATTCAGAAGAAATGGTTTCAAATCATGGCCCTGATGCTGACTTGCATTGTGACCGTGGACAACCCCCCTGACTTTCTGGACCTTCAAATTTTAATTGTAAATGATAAGAAATTTCAGTGGCTATATCATAGGACTTTGGGGAAGAACGCCCTTGGTAAGACTTAAAGCATTATATAAATATGAGTTATTATTACCTTATGGAATGATTTAACCAATATCATTCTGGAAATCATCCTAGCCTTGAATCTCTCCCTCTGATTTCATGCTTTAGAAAGACAACTTGAAAGAAACAAGCATCTCCATAGATGCGACCTAAGTGTCTTTCTTTGTTCATCTTCCCTTTCCATGGTTTGTGTCTGATCCTCCAAGTGGCACCAAGTACACTCAGGTAGTAATGGGTCACAAGAAATTTATCTCAAGGAAGCCTAGATCTTCCTGGAATTGCCATGTTAATTTTCCCATTTTTTCTTCTGGCCACTGGTCACTTCATCTCTCTGAGCCTCAGTTTCCTCATCTGTAAAATGAGGTTAGATTAAATGATCTCTAAGATTCCTTCCAACTCTAAATTCTATGATCTGAAATCAGCAGATCCACCTATGAAAATTTCCTAAGGAGAAATTATGGAGAAGTCTAAAATATGGTCTGAGCCTTCGAGGGAACTTATATTCTTGTTGAGGAAATGAGATTTTTTTTATGTAGATGGCATAGTTTAAAAAAAAAGATTCAGGTTGATGTAAATAGAAGGTTATATATGTGACTCCTGGTTCGGCAGCCATAGCCCTTCTGAATCAGACTCCAGCCTCCCTTTCCAGACATATAGATCCCCTTTCCTGTACTTAACATTCTAATCCAAATGGCCTTCCAGACGTTCCATTTACCCAACATTCTGCTTTATCTCTCCTCCTGCCTCTAGAATTCCTTTGCTTCCTTCAAGACTCAACTCAAATGTTATCTCCTCTGTTAGGATTATTCTGATTTTCCCATTCCCACCTACCTGTTGCTAATGCCCTTCCCCTCAAAAGAAATTACTCTCTCTATAATTTTTGTTTGTTTTCCACCTTTGACATTCTACTCCGTGACCCTGGGCAAGTCATTTGACTTGTTAATTGTTCCAGTCACATCCAACTTATGGATCTGCCTTGGTAGAAGGAGTTCCATATCCAGAGTTTCTTTATTAAGTCCATGAATTCACTGGTCTGGTGAAATTTAAAAAAAAAATGTATTTACTTATCATTTACTTACCATTTTCATCACTTATCATTACTATTATATACCATACTTACCATTTACTTACCATTTTCCCTCAAAAGAGTGTAAGCTCCTTGAAAGCAGGAACTGTTTGAATTTTGTCTTTGTATTCCTAGCATTTGGAACAGTGTATGCCACTGGTGCTTCATAAATGTTTTTTGAAGTAATGCTGAATAAATAAGACTGTTAACAGAAATCTAGAGAATGGAGTGATGATACATTGGAGTCGAAAAGGAAGGCTATTTGGGTAACAATAATAATAGATAGTATTTATATACCGCTTTAAGATTTGCAAAGCAGGTCACACACACCATCTCATAATAGCACCTGCCGCTCAGGGTTGTAAGGAGAAGATAATTGCTTTACAAAGCGCTATGTAGATGCTATTCATCATCATCATCATCATCATCATCATCATCATCATCACTTTCATTATCATTGTTATTTCTTCACAACAGCCCTGGGAGGTAGGTCCTATGATTATCCCCATTTGACAGATGAGGAAACTGAGGCTGAAAGGTCCACGTGACTAGCCCAGGTTCACACTGCTAAGTGTTTGCAGCCAGGTTACCATACAGAGTCCAAATCCAGCATGATCTCCTGTACCACCCAGCTGCCACCTTGAGACTTTTTGAGTTGGACTCAGCTAGAACCTTAGTCTTAAGTGGTGTGAGTGGCCCCATGGAATCCATCTTTGTATTTCTCCTCCCCCCACCATGGGATTCTCTGCAGGATGGCGACAAGCAGCTTTGAGTGGGGCTCGGAAGCAAAGTCCCTTAACGGTGCCTGGGAACACTATTCCACGGTGACGCTTTTTCAGGATGAAGGTATTGTGCCAGATGAGGATGAGGTCCAGCCCACGAGGCAGAATCTCTCCGGACAATTCTCCGTTTCTTCGGAGGGGACTGCCAACTCGGATATTCCCCAGGTGGTTCCTTGTACGTTCACCATCTGCTTGGCTCTGCCGGGCTTCTTTGGTAGGTGCAGGAGAAGACATATTATTTTAGATGAATGAGCAAATGGATTTTCTTTCCTAAGTTTCACAATATATACTTACATTTTCCTCCTCTTCTCTCTGTTTTTCACACCTCTCTTTCCTCGTAGTATATGTTAACGAAAGAGCACTGATGAATGACAGAACAACACTTACCAAAGAATTAGTATTCTAGGTGTCCAAATACTGTGGGGACAAAAGTAGATCTAAATGAAACCTCACCTTGTTTACAAGCTTCCATACAGGAAAGATTAAGCCCAAGTCCCTATTCTGAGATGAAATTTAATTCTACTTATGAAATTTAACCACGTTTTTCCACTGACTAATGTTTGTTTAACCACAGGTTTTAATAAATAGTTTAATACAAATGATTAGCCTTGACAGTAGAAGAGTAAACAGGACTGTGACAGGAAGCCAGAGAAGGTTTCATAGAGGAGGAGGCGTTTGAATTGGGCTTTAAAATATGGGGTGGAATTCAACAGGTAAAGAGAAGGGAGGGCCCTTTGTGTATAGGTGAACAAAGGTGGGAGGTTGTAGGAAGTACTTGGGGCATAGGGTGAGGTAGAGAAGTCTGGTTTGACTGGAGTGTAGAGTGAATAGAACAAATATTAAGAGATAAATCAAAGTGATGTCAGAGGATGTGGAGCCTTGAAACTCAGACAAAAAAGTCTGAACATTAACCTGGGAGGCGGGAGGCAGCCCCTGAAGATATTTGAGTAGAGGAATGACATGACTGAATATACAAAGCTGATTAATTTACACTTTTATGAAAAAAAAAAAAAGAACCTTGTCCTCAAATGTGATCAAATGCAAAGTAGTAAAGATAGGCATCAGTCAAAGGAAAGCAGAAATACTGTGCATCTTTATACAGGAGGACAATTTCTCCTTCTCATTTGTCCCCATTATTAGAGCCATTTATTAAGAGATTAGCTGAATATGACAGGATACACTATGCTTTTTGAAGTAAATTAGACAGAATTTCCATCTCTGGGAGCTTACAGTCTGAGACAGCTTTGATGTGGATAGAGTTATTAAAGAATTGTAGATAAATGGAGAAATATTGAATAAATACGTAAATCAATCAAAATATTTACATTTAAGTATGGGCCCAGCAACTGACTCTGTCTTTTGACCCAGGATTCTCCTAGGTGATTTTGGAGAGGCTCATCACTGGGGTTGGCCACCAGCTGGTAAATTCTTTTGACCACAATAACTCATTAAACCATAGGGCATGGAGGGGTTGCAGTTTGTATCAGTAGAGGGAGCATGTACCCACATGAAATCACAGATCCTTGAAGTATTTATATTAGAGGTGAGCAAAGGGATACATTCATTTAGTGCAGTAAGTCAAAAGGAAATAATAGGAGTTGCCTGTTTAGACAGAATTCTAAAGAAATCACCATTTCTACAGGTCAGGAATGTCTTCATGGGAGAGGCATGGTTTTAAAAATCTGTAATTAAGTAGAGGGAAGAACATGAATACTTAAGGCGAAGGGAGAGGTATTCCAGGGATATTCCAGGCCTGGATTATGGGGATGGAAATGTTATGATTACACAAAGTAAAATATATTTTCCTGAGACAAGTAGAATGAATGGGTCTAAGGAAACCAGCAAAGTAAAATGGCCTATAAAAAAGTTTCTAGTGACCTGTGACAGAAGGCTTCTGAGCTTTTTGGCCCTGGTAGACATTCTGTTGCCATCCCCAAAGGAAATGGGGTTCTCCTTCAAAAACAGTGGATGCTTGACTATATTTTAAAAAAAATTACTGTTTTTATTTATTTATATCTGTAATTTATATTATTTATATTTATATAATTTTTTATATTTGTATTTTATTTTCTTCCTGACTCTTTTCTTTTTATTCCTCTCTTAACCAATCAATTCTGCAATCATTACTTTATCACATATTATATTCAAGGCAGTGGGGAACACAATATTAGAAAACAAGTTTCTGTCCTTTAGGATAGGGACTGGGACGGTGATTTCATCCGGTATAGGAAATTCCTGGAGGAAGAAATTTCATCTCTACCAAAGTAGATTGGTGCCTTCTCTATGACTTATAGTCTTAGTTGCTTCGAGCTTTCCACTATGTGCTGAAAGTGGGACTCAAACCCAGTCTTCCTGGTTTCAAAGCTGGCTCTCTATCCACTCCACCACACTTCCTCTCCTTCTGTCCTCAAGGAACTTATGTAATCCACACATATTTGGTCAGCTGGTCAGAGCACCAACCCACTCTACCCCAGGATGTGAAGATCTGGAATCATTTGCATGTGGGAATAATTAATCATTATACTGTAGCCACAAGAGCCTGGAGAAGAGAGGCAAATGGCTTTGGTTCATCTTTCAGGTCTGCATCTTTCTGACTATGTGACTTTGCTTTTTTCTTTGCTGTCACATCGCCCCACTGACTCAGATTGAATTTATTTTTCCTCTGATAACTCCCAGGACTTTTCCAGTCGAATGCTTTCCCCGTTTCGTATTTATAAAGCTGATTTTTGTTTTTTTACCCAAGTGTGAGGCTACATTTAGCCATATCAAATTAAGATCCTTCTCCTTGGTGGATAATACAGAAACAAAAGAACAGATAAGGACTTCTGTCTCTTCTTGTCGGTCATCATCATCCTGCAAACCCTGAATCAACAATCTTATCCTTTCTTGGATCCTCCTCTTTTCCCCCCCTCAAGTAGCTAAAAAACCCAACCAAACAAACAATAGAAAACCAAAAATTCCTTTTTGTTATGCTTTCCTCAAAAGCTTTGCCTCATTGTTGGTTCTGGATCCGATTATTACAGGCTTTTGGGTTCATCCTCTTGGGACCTTCCCTTGCTCCCATCTTCTCTATGTTTTTCAGAGTAAAATTGGTTAGTGTTCTTTCTTCAGACCCTTTGAACCAGATATATTCTCCCCATACTGTTCCTAGTTTTCCTCTTCTTTCCTGTCACAGACTCTAAGATGAGTGGCCACTTTGCCTCCTGCCTCCCTTCCCGATTCCCATCATTTCCACACTCCCAGAAATCAGTGTTTTCCTGGTGAGAATTAATTCCAGAATAGAACTTCCCCTGTTGATTCTTACACCATTTGAAGAATGAAAATTACCATTAATTACCATTAATTTCTCTGCTTTTGATGGAGAGATTTCTAGTAGCTGTCCAACCAAATGAAGTACCCTATCCCTACTATACCGTTTCTCTGTGGTAGGCTTGTGATCCATTTTCCTGAATTCATCAATTTCTTCTTTCTGTCCAGTCAGTCTGTAAAATATTCCAGATTAAAATGTTGCTTCAGTTTTTGCCTCTGCTGAACTTTATTGTATTTGTAGCCCTGCTAGCTGTTACATACTGTTGACTGATTGATTACAACCCATCCACACATTCTTATCCATATTTTCCATAAGTCCTCCGTAGAAGTCCACCCGGTGTGCTCAGGACATTCTTTGAACATACAAATACCAGTGTAGTCAGGCAACCATCTGTTATTACTTATTCTCACTACATGACTAGCCCATATCCTTTTCTGGTTATATATCTTCTGTATGGCATGTTTTATGTCTCTTTTTGCATGCAAATCATCACTGGTAATATATGGCAGGTTATTTATGTCTGTTGAACAGTTCTTTATTACCCTTTAGGTGACTCACAATTTTGATTTTTAGAGATTGTGGTATTTTATGATTCACTACCACATGGTATTACAAGAAGAATATCACTGGTAAAATGATAGGTTTTTGTTTCAGAGAGAAACCTGAAGTTGTTGAAGGTACTGTGCAATTTCTCAAATGTAATCCAACCTTTTTTCTTTCTCCTAGTCCATTTTGGGCTCAGGTCTTTTCAAATCATTCATTACAGTAAATGTATAGTTGATTTTTTAACTGTCACGAGGATACTAGAGGAAAGTATTGAACCTAGGAAGAGATATAGCCCAAGTTCAATGTATGTATAATCAAAACTAGACATGAGGAGAGAGAAAAGTTTGGGAATAAACCAGGAAAGAAGAAATATGGAGATTTGAACTTAGCCAACGATATCTTGCTATTTCATCATGTTAGGTAGGCATTTACACATAGGAAGAAAGCTCTATGAAATGTGAATGTGTTTACTCTTCACTTACTAAATCTACGTTGTGTCTTCTAGGCCCTAAAGGGAAGCATTCATCTGACTTATTTAAACGATTAAGACCTGATAAACTTGCAAAATTTCTACGGTACTATCATATAGAATATCTGCTCTTACCAGATGACAGAGAGCCCAAACAAGCTGACGTGGTGTTACTGAATACATTAATAGCCAAAGTGTTCATAGAATCTGGAATAAAGGTAAGATGTATATACGTACATATGTTATGTATGTGTCACATATGTATTTGCTAAATATATAGACTAAAAAAAGAAATATATCAAATATATGTACTAAAAGAAATGTAAATAACAAATTAAGTCACATTAATTGTATCTACTACAGTGAATATATTTATATATACATTGATTTATTAATTAGTTCATTTATTCATATTTCTTTTAGTAAACCCCAAAGCATTTGGTAAGACAATGGAGTAGCTTCCAGCTTTTTGACATTATTCTTAATGACCCAGAACACCCAGCCACTTTTTGGCATTGGGGTGAGACTTTAAGGTGATTGTTAATTATTTATTAATTATTAATAATTAAATATGTCTGCTATGCTATATGAGAGAATTGAGGGGATTAGGACAGAAAGTGGTTAATTGTGGGAATTGAGTGAACACCACTGATGCCATCTTGTGACTCAATTCTTGAGCTTTCTCAGTTCCCTTTCTATTCAATTATGGGTCTAGTCCAAATTCTGTCACGTGAGAAAAATTTATTCAATTGTGGAAATTGGAAAAAAAACTTGGTTGCATTGTTTGTACCCAGACCTGCATGGCTAGGAAGCTGGACCACCTCTCCCTGCTGTTTAACCAAAGACTAGGTTTTGCTGCTCAGAAACCTGGTCGGGTCCAAAGATTGATGGAAGGAGTTTTCTCACAATTGTACATCTCAAGCAACCTATATGTCTTATCTGAAAACCGGCCCTGTACCGATCAGCTTTTATTTCTGTGTTCATTTGATTGTTTACAGACACTGAGGTGCAGTAGGACACCTATTTTTCTGAGTTTTCTCCCTCTGTTTTGCTCTCCCTCTCTCAACTTGGAAAGTCCCTAATGTCTTCTCCAATTAGAAATCAGATTACTTACTGTTGTATTGTTTCCTTTTAATTAACTGGCCTTATTTGATTAATTGACCCCCCCTCCCCAAGTCTTCAGGTCCAGGCCTAAGCAGAGGAAGTCTGGTTCCAATTTGTTAGGCAATCAAAATGCATTACTTAATAAATCAGTATGCTTGAAAGATGGAACCTTTTGTTTCCTCAGTCATTTCATCCTTCACGTACCACGCATAATACTTTTTTTTGGTCCTCTACCTCTTCAAGATGTTCAGGAGAATCCTGTTGTTCTGTGGGCACATTAGGAATACCACAGGTCTAAGTCATCCATATAATAGTTTAGTGTTTTTTAATTAGAATCTACATTCCTTGCTTTTTACTTTTTACCTTCAGTTAACCACCCATCAGCTTTTACTTCCTCGCAATGCTTCAAATAAAGCCTTCTCCTTCTTTGCTTTGTCTTGCTTCTCCTTACCTCACCTTACCATAAACATCTCTCTTTATGGATATGGTTGCTGGCCATCTCCCTTGCCCCTCAGTGTAACCTAGAAGTAACGGCTCCTTCTGTGTGTATTCTCATCCTCCTCTGTGATGACTTTCGCTCCCAATCTGCCCCTCTGCTGCTCGTACTACTAACCTCATGGTATGTTACAGGTTATAGCAAAAATGTGTTCAGAGAGACTGTTCAGGGGATAGTATCTGTTTAGTAGTCATGAAAAAGCTGTGTCCTAGACAGTGAAATTTTTTAGAGTTGGATTTATATCCTTAAAAGTAGGAGCTAATTACATTTCCTATGTAGAAATGTATGGAGTTAAATTATTTAATGGACCAGGTCTCATTAACATAACATTATATGTAAGAGATTCTTTTTTTTTTAAGATTCATTAATTTATTTTTAGTTTTCAACATTCACATCCACAAGATTTTGAGTTCCACATTTTCTCCCCATCTTGTCCCTCCCTCTACCCGAAGACAGTGTGCATTCTGAATATCCTTTTCCCTAATCTGCCCGCCCTTCTACCCCCCCCCCCTTACCCCCTTCCTCTTCTATTTTCCTGTAGGGCAGGATAGATTTCTGTACTCCATTGCCTGTGAATCTTATTTCCCAGTCGCATGTGAAAACAATTTTTTAACATTTGTTTTTAAAACTTTGGGTTCCAAATTTTCTTCCTTCCTTCCTCCCCACCCACCCTCATTGAGAAGGCAAGCAACTCGACACAGGTTATACATGTGTAGTCATGCAGAACACTTCCATAGTAGTCATGCTATGGAAAACTATATTTCCCTTCATCCTATTCTGCCCTCCATTTATTCTCTTCTCTCTTTTGACCCTGTCCTTCCTCAGAAGTGTTTGCTTCTGATTAACCCCTCCCCCTATATAAGGGATTCTTAAGTAGGTATTTGACTCTAGTTAATTTTCACTCTATCTAAAAATTATGAATTATTCTAGTGTAAGTATTGTAATACTGACTACTGTGGCCTCCATTGTCTAGAAAGCCAGGCATGTTAGTTTTTACCCCACCTCCAGGTATCCTTAAGAGGACTTAGGGTGTCTAGACCAGGGGCTTTGAGATCACATGTAGCCTTCTAGGTCCTTGGGTACAGCTTTTTGACTGAGTCCAAGTTTGATAAAACAAATCCTTTTATGAAGGGGATTTGTTCTGTGAAGTTTGCATTCAGTCGAAGGGCCACACGTGGCCTTGAGGCCGAAGGTTCCCCATCTCTGGTCTAGACTCTCTAAAAATGGTTCCAGTGCCTACAATGGTTTCTCCCAAGTGTAGAGGAGTTCCGTGTACTTAACTTTTACAAAGAAATATTTTCTTCAAAAGAGAATAAAAAATACACAAATTTACTCCCCCAACAGTGGTAGACATATTCTGCCTCCCCCCTTTTCTTTGGCACCACCTGAGTCTCTGGGGACGGGAAGGAGTTAAGTTCAGTTTCCGTAGAATACAGCCCCAGTTCCAAGCCCAGCACACCCCTTCGCCTTGTGTCTCAGGCACCTTGGCTTCTCGGGGTTTCCTCGAGGGGCTGGCTGCACCTGTCTGCCTGCAATCCTGGCTCCAAAATCGTCACCCCGGCTCACACTCCTGGGTCCAATGGAGATGGCCACCAGCACCTGAAATTGTGAAAGACAAAAGAAAACAAACAGAAATAAACACTGCTGGGCCCATTTCTCAGAGCCAGGGTAAAAGAGGGAGCAGAGAGAAGAAGTTCTTCCCCTCTCCCTGGTCCTGTTCATGGTCTTTGTGAACTGGTGTCTTCATCCATTGTGCGAGCACAGGAAAGAGCTTCTAGCAAGAACTGTACAAAGAGTGGCCACCTCACTCTTGCCAGTTTTAAAGACAAAACCTGTTCTGGTTACATAGCCAGTCAAAGGGAGCTACACCTTCCCTTGGGGTAGGGGACATAAAGGACTCCATGTTAGGTGATCTGGACCAGCTGCAGAGGTCCTTTGGGATGCTTCCATCTTGGTTGAACTGGGCACTTAGCACAGTGTCAGACACATAGAAGGCACTTAATAAAAATTGATTGATTGATTGACTGATAGACATGCCCAGGTTATAATATGTTTTGTTAAGTTTAAATTCTTTTAAAATGGTAATATGTACATGGCCATTTTTGATTAACCGGAGAATCCTGTTTATTAATCATGTTGGATAACAGAGAGTCGTTTGCAAATTAGCTTGAAAAGTGGCAAAATTAGTTTGTACATCGATTATCTCAAAGGACGTAAAACAGTAGAATGAATTAGCATTGATCTGTTCCCCTCAGGAAAACTGGTTATACCAAGCTGTGTGACCCTGGGCAAGTCACTTAACCCCAATTGCCTAAAAAAAAAATTGGTTACACCAAAAGTGTTTTTTGGTGCCTAAACAGAGTAAGCTAGTTTATGCTCTTTCACTTCTTTAGCAGGGCATTTGATGCCTCTGTAGGCAAATTCAGGGAAAAAAAAGTGAGCCCTTAGTTTTCACTTTCTAATATATTAACCCTACATTGCTTCCAGCTGTATTCTCCGAGCTAAAAATAGGCAGCTACTGTTGTATAAAAATTCCTTTGGAGATTTTAAAATGATTTTTAAAATGATTTTAAATGATTTTAATTTTTTTATTTTAAAAAAATGATTTAAAAAATTTTTTAAATGATTTTTTAAAAAAATTAAAAAAAATCATTTCATAGTTTGGCTAGCCTTTGGCTTTAGGTAAATGTTAGTATATTCAGTTGTGTATGACTCTCCATGACCTCGTTTGGGGTTTTCTTGGCAGAGATACTGGAGTGGTTTGCCATTTCCTTCTCCAGCTCATTTCACAGATGAGGAAACTGAGACAAACAGATTAAGTGACTTGCCCAGGGTCATACAGCTAGTAAGTGTCAGAGGCCAGATTTGAATCAGGTAGAAAATGGAACTTGAGTCTTAAAGAAGAGTAGGAATTCTAAGAGGCAGAAATGAAAAAGGAGTGTGTTTGCTTGGCAGTTCTATTGCAAATTGACTTCATTACTAGGAATGCTGCTGTTTTTTCCACAAACATTTATAAAATTACCATAGTTAAAAGATTTTTAATGTTGTTTTACATAGGCTGTCAGTCCATGGTATGAAAATGATAAATTATGGGTGTCTTGGAAAGAAACTCATAAGATGTCAATTACAAAGGAAGTGTTAAAGAAATTGAACTATCACAAAATCATCCTTAATATATGGGACACCAAGGAGAAAGTGTCTAAAAAAGCAAAGTTTACCAAAGTAAAAAGTTTGAGTCGCCAGGAGGATTTTGAAAGTGTTGGTAAGTTAGTTATTCAAATTTTACTTGAAATATTCAGAGAAGTATAGAGCCACAGAATATTTGAGCTGGAGAGAAACTTACATAGAATTTTCATTCAACTTCTTCATTTTATTCTCAAGGAACCTGAGACCCATGGAGGAGAACTGACTTGGCTAGGTTATAACCTAGTTGTAACCAAGTTAGTCGGGGCAGAATGCCCTGAGACTAAGGAGATAGATTTCAGGGGATCCATGAACTTGGATGGGAAAAATTCATATTTATTCCAATAAAATTCGTTTCCCCTGGAATTCTGTTATTTTATTTTAATGCATTTAAAAACAATATTTTGGGAAGAGATCCACATGCTTCACCAGACTGCCGAAGGGTTCCATGACACAAAAGGTTAAGGTCAGGAACTCTCCTGCAGGCTTTTACTGGGTCTAAATTATCTTTGCAGCTTTCCCTTACTACTCCTGTTTCTTCTCTCTGAGACCAAGCGGATCAAATCTAATTCCATATGATAGCCTTTTCAGTACTTGAAAGCTTGGGTTATGTCTCCCATCTTTTCTTCCCCAGGCCAAATATTCTCAGTTCCTTCCACTCTTTCTTTACATGGCATGGTCTCTATTTCCTTAACTCTCCTCATCACTCTTCTCTGGAGGACTGTCAAAACCTTTTCTAAAACATGGTTCCCAGAGCTGACTGGAACATTCTAGATGAATCAGTTTAATCCAGGGGTGGGGAACCTGCAGCCTCCAGGCCACACGTGGCCTTCTGGGTCCTCAGGTGAAGCCTTTTGACAGAGTCCAAGATTTACAGAACAAACCCTTTGATGAAGGGGATTTGTTCTGTGAGGTTTGGATTCAGTCACGGGGTCACACTTGAGGACTTAAAGGGCCACGTGTGGTCTTGAGGCTGAAAGATCCCCACCCCTGGTTTAATCCCATCAAATTTCACTTCTGAGTGAAGCATCGCTGATGACGAGAATCATTCCCTTGCACGTCTTGGCCGCCTAAGATCCCCTACCACAAGGCTGGATCCCATGGGTCCCTTAGGCCACTGCCCAGGGCTGAGGTCCTCACTGGTGCTGTGGCCAGCATGCTTTGGTGTGGGCTTCAGCTCCCAGATACTTTGAGATCTTGTAAATCCTTGTACCATAGGAGGAAGACATAAATAGAAGGCAGCACCCTTCTTAGACACAGGCTTGCCTAGAGGGCCATGCCCTTACCTGATGTCCTGGTAGGGGGACAGGTCCCCCAGCCCCCTCCAACCTCTGAAGCTCAGACAGTCATCCTTCCACCTTGTGGCTAGCAAGTTTCTCCACTGGGGCCTTTTTTTGCAGTCTTACTTCTGGTGCAGCAGCCAACCGAAATATCTTTTCTTCACCATGCAGTAACAGTCAGAGCGCATCTGTACATGCCCTGAAGAGGATTGCCAGGCTCCTACAAGCAGGCTTGCCAAACAGGCGTGCTATTTATTACCTCCACTTTGTATTTTATGTACAGATATCTGAGTCCATCGGTTTTAGTGCTTTTTGGATAGCCTCCTGTGAATACCTGGTCTTTTGTGTTGCCATTCTAATGCTGTACTTTCTACTCTCTACTATTTGCCTTGAAATATGTAGGTAGTTTTCTCTCTCCTTTTCCTTTTCAATTTAAAGCAGCCTTGATTGGATTTATAAGGTATTATGTAAATATATATTTTACCATCTCTGCTTAGGAGCACACCAACCCTGACCAAGAGCATTCCTGTATTTTAAGCCCAGCTTCCAAAATCCAAAACCTATTCTTGAGCACCATTTTTATAATTACTTGTTCACTTTCCAGATCTGCCTTTTTCTTTCAAAGCTATATCCTGTGGAGAGCAAGGATATTGAAAGACATTGTTGTTTTTTCATCATCAGTGGTGCCTTTAAGCATGATATCATTCCCTTGTTTATTTCTCTTACTCCTTTGTAATTTGAATTCATTTTTGTCTGATGATATAACTCTTGATTTTTTTGATTCAGCTGCGGGCAGGGTAAAATTTAGTCTATTAATTTAAGTCTTTATGTGGTATTCTGCATTAGGTATATTTCCTTTGGGCTGCCTCTTATTGAGTTGTGAGTTTTAATTCATTCAGTGACCCTTTCCTTTTTTTTTTATAGTGGAATTCAATTGATAATTAAAGGTTATAATGGTTATATTTGCCTTATCTAACATACTGTTGTTTGGCCAGAGCATAGCAAATTTGAAACCAGTCTTTTGTTTCAAATCTACTTAGATCTTTCTGGATTAAAGGTGTTTTCTGGAAACGTTTGGTGTTATCATTATTAGATTTTTCTTTTCTTCAGTCATTTAATCAAAAAAGGGATGGATGCTCCCTTAGTTTTTTATTATTTCTATTATCAGTCCAAAGTTAACATCATGCTGTGTTGCCTTGAGCACAGACATGATTACTCTTGGGCCTCAGTTTCCTCTTCTGTAACAGGAGAGAAGAAGGGACTTGATGACTTCTTGATGAGCTTCTCCCAGCTCTAATGTGTGATTCTGTCTTAATTTGGACTTCTCTTTTATCACAGACAAGAACTTTGAAATTACCGCCCTCCTTCCTTCCTTTGATTCTCAGAGATATTTGGTGATTTAGCCAATGCATTGCTTTGGAATCCTCACATGTTGTTAATAACCCTTTTAGTCTTGGTTATTTTAAACACAGTACTTATCTTTTGTGGTTCAAAGATGTCCCTTCAAGTCGATGTCTCACTGCAAGCCTTTCACATAGATATTACCTGTCATCATAAAGCATTCTGAATACAATGATCCAAGACAACTCTGAAGGATTCATGATGAAGGGTGCTCTCCATCTTCAGAGAAAGAACTGATGGCATCTGAATGCAGATCAAAGCATACTATTTTTCACTTTCTTTTTTTGTCTGTGTTTTCTTTTACAACATCACTAATATGGAAATATATTTTTCATTATTGCTGCACATGTACTATATCAAATCACTTACATCTCAGGGAAGGGGGAGGAGAGGGAAGGAGAGAATTTGAAACTCAAAATAAAAAAAACCAAATGTCAAAATTTGTTTTTATATGCAATTGGGAAAGAGTAAAATATTTAAAAAAATAAAGCATACTGAGTAGATAATTATGGGTTTTATGGTGCATGCTTCTTAATTTTATAAATGTTGTATTCTTATTTCTGAGATCCTTCATTTCTGAAACCAGGGTCATCTCTCACCCTGCTTTGAGATGGGAGTCTTAATTTGGCTCACTGATCTTTATTTTTTTTTCTTCATTTGTGATGCCCATACTCAAATAGTATTGTTCTCTCTCTTCCCCCTCCCCCTCTGGCCTGTTTGTCATTCAGTGTTAATCAAAATAACACTCCTATTGATTTGATGTCCTCTCTGGTTATTGAGATAGCTGCCATTCAAACGAATGCTACTATTGTGTTAACCTTCTTTGTCTAATGGGGATTTGGCACATGTGCAAACCACCTGGAATAGCATCTTTCTCCATGGTTAGTCAACTGGAACCAGTTACTGTAGGGTTTCACTAAATTCCACGAGTGAGTCATGAAGCTGCCCCATATATGAATATAGCAAAGAGAGATGGTTGAAACTGACTCAGGCCTTTCTGAAGTCACTGAAAGTTCTAACTACATAGCCATTTCAAAAAAAAAGGCTAACCAGAACCAGGTACAGAAAGTTCACCCATGCCCCCAGTCTCTCCAAGGCATTTCCTTTACATATTGTCATGACTGTCCCAGAAGTAGGATCCCAACCTCTCCATACAGGGAGACGCTGTCTTAGGCGCTCTGAATATTTGCCAATTCCTCATTTCGGGCGGAATTTATGTTTTTGAAGGAAGAAGATAGTAATAGTAGCAGAGACCCCTTTGGTTTTCATACATTGATGTTGTTCTGTGTTCTAGATGGTTTTGCTTCTCAAATGTTATTTTAGGGATGGATTACCACTCAACAGCTCTCTAACATTCTTGCAAGGTTCAGACTGTCTAGTATCTTTGAAAAGTCCACTCAGTTTTGCATGTTAGTTTATTCGGGGGATGAAGTTCAGTTTCTTCTGATTTTCAGTATGACATAGTTCAGTCCTTTCTGTTAATGTTTATCTTGAGCAAAAAATCCCACGCAGTTGAAGGATGCTTATTAATGTGTATTTCTTCTTGGATCCTTGTAAAATTGTCTCCTCATTCTAGTCTTACAATCTGACTACATAGGAGTTAGTTGAATCAGGGAATTGTCTTAGGTTTGGAGTTCAACTAAAAACTTCTTTTCCCTAATATATCTCTGGCATGTGTGTGCCAGTTCATATCCCAGTCCTAAATTCGCAGTTAAGACTCTGCTTCTAAAGACCGTCTGGGCCCTTCTTCATTCTGTCTCCTTTCAGCTATAATCCCTGTTTTCTTTCTTTCTTTCTTTCTTTCTTTCTTTCTTTCTTTCTTTCTTT